TTAATGGTCTTCCAGAGAGTCGGTGTCATTCACACTCGTGTTCGCTCCGTGCCTTTTCTATATGAATGTGTATAGGGTGCTAATGAGGGGGGAGGAGGAGCGGGGTGGATGTGGAATTGGTGGGATACAGCTGGACGGAGTGTGAGACTGTGGTGAATAGGTAACCATGGTAACTCTGTTGGCTAAGATTTGAATGCAGCGAGAGAGAGCAAAAGGGGGGAAAGGAAGCTGCAGTGTGTTTGTGAGGAGAATCGGGGGTTGTGATGTGTGTGTGTGGGGTGTGTGTGGGGTGTGTGTGTGTGTGTGTGTGTGTTGGGGTTAAAGATTAATATGCATCATTGTAGCAGATTGATCTTTCATTAAACTGCAAGGTCAGTGTGGCGTTTACCCCCCCGATAGTGGACACTATAGAGGGCCATACAGGTGGGGAGGGGGCGGAGGGAGGTCCCGGAAATACAGTATGTTGTACTAGGGAGGAAGAAAGTGTGAGGGGAGGCAACATGGCGGAACGAGGGAGGGGGGGGGGGKGAGTTTGCAGAAGTGTGCACAGAGAAGAAGAAGAAGCAGCGAGTGTTCCTCGTTTTATAGAAGGAGATGGGAGATATCAGGGGAGATGGAGAGAGGAAGAGGAGGGAGGAGTACAGGTAGAGACTATTGTATCATGTGGGAAGTGACAGCAGTGAGGCAGAGCACATTCAAACAGCCTCTAACCAGCTGTCAGCTCCAACTAGTCTCCCTCTCCTCATCCACCCCAACCCCACCCACCCAACATCTGAGCGACCATCTTAACCCCAGTCTCCACTTTCTCTTTTTCTTGCACCTTTCAACTACGCTCAGACGCCGTCTACCTGAAATAGCTCTGCAACGCAGGTCTCGCTGGTAGAAGGAAGGAAAAGGTGACTGGAAATTAAAAAACCGTAAAAAAAAAAAAAAAAAAAAAAGGTGAGAGCTGAGCCAAAAATAACGCTTGAGTGCCTCTTTATCCATCGCTGCTGGCACCGCTGTGTGTCGTGATGGAGGCGAAGGGCAGTTGCAGGGCAGCGAGAGCCGGCATCCCTCAGGTGACGGCCGCATCCCCACCGCATGTTGCAGGTGCTGCAGTTGCGGTTCTGTCTGAGCGGAGATGATGCTGCTGATATGATTTATCATATCGTCCTTGTGTGTGTGTTTTAATGTCATTGAACTATACTGCGTACACATTATTGATCAATCTCACCCCCACCTCTCCTCCCACTCATCCAGGACTCAAGAGAAACCTCTCTCTGTCGCTCTCTCTCTCTGTGTCTCCACCTGTTTCATATTCATCCCCTCATATTGTTTCTTGCCTCCATCTCTCTGTTGCTCTCTGTTTTATATGCGTCTCTGTGTTGTCATTCCCCTCCCTCCATCTCTCTATTTTATATTCATCTCTCTATTGAGCCCCCATCTCTCTCTCTCTTTCTTTCTCTCTCTCTCACTGAGCAAGAGATGATTAATATTAATGTGTCTCCTTCCCCTCTCCCTCCTTATTTTCCCTCTTCCACTTTTTTTATCTTTCTTTTTACTGATCTCTTTTTTGCTCTTCTCACTATTTATACCTCTCCCTGGGTCTTTATCCCTCATCATCCCTCTCACTCAACCTTCCCTCCATCTGTCTCCATCTCTATCTCTTTCTTTCTCTCTCTCCCTCCCTCTCTCTTTCTCCGGCCCGCTCTCTGCAGCTGTTCAGTATTCATCTATTACTGTAGTGTTGATAATTCCCTTCTCTGCCTGCAGCCATACAGTCATCTATCAGATTAATAATCCTTCTCTCTTTCTCATTCTCTCTCTTTCTTACTCCCGTCTCCTTTCTTACTGTGCCAAGTGAGGATGCTCAGCTTTTCAAATGAAACTTTGCATGTCAAAGTCCCATCATTACAACCATCATCATGGAAAACCATATCCATATTGCTGGATGCTCTTATTTGAGGTTAGAGGGTGAGTGGCTCACATGAAGGTGGAGCCGGACTGTATTTGGCCATACATTTCAGTTATTGTAAACTGCACCATTCGCTATCCTTCTCCAGCCCCTGGAGCATACAATACTGTTCTTATACAGGAGCAGAATTTGCATTTCAGTCTGTGCTCCTGCTGCAAAAAACTTTACACTTCTCCTACTTGGATTCAGGCTGGTGATGTTTTCCAGGGCTGGAACCTGCTTTGATAAGTATGAGTTAAATAAAGGGATGCTGCACACAAATATGAAAATTCACTCATTATCTGCTCACCACTTTGTTGATAGAGGGGTGGGTGAAGTGTTCACAAAACACTTTTGGAGTTTCAGGGGTAAATAGCGTTACAGCCAAATCCAATACAACTGAATTAACTGGTGACCACTTCTTCAGATGTAAAAAAACAACAGAAAAAACCCATAGAATGACGCCATACTGCTCCTGTGGTGTCATCAAAGTGTCCGTAAGCACCGACATTCAAATTCCACCTGAAACGGCATCATTTACACCATGTCTTAAGCCTAAATATCCTCTGCAACAGTAACTAGGAGCATAATGGTGAGTAGATAATGAGTGAATTTTCATTTTTGGGTGAACTATCCCTTTAAAGGCGGTCGCACATTCAAACATCAATATGTCATTGTCTTATTAATTGCCATACCCTGGTATAATTAGCGTTAAATGAAACTGTGGCTCAGATGATTGGAAGCCTCGATCTCACACTAGTGGTGTTATTAATAGTCCTCCCCATAAACCCTGTTGCTTTCAGAAAGTGATTTTTTTATTTTTTTTTTTTACTTGAAGAGATTGTTGGGATTACCACAACCACAAAAATCATTCTGCCAATGATCAGCGTTTAATTATGTTTACCACAGAGCAACCACGACTTTCCTTTCTAAGCCTGCTGTGGTTGTTTCTACCACTTTCACACCAACATTATTATGTATAATTAGATATATGCAGGTTATTTAAATGTGTGTTGAAGGCAATTGTCTCCTTTCCCATTGCCGGGTGTTTTGCCTTCCTGTTTTTTCCTCCCTGGTGCCTCATGCTCAATGTCACAAACCCACCAAAAACTGAAGCGCTCTCTCTTCGCTGTCTTGCCAAATCGGCGCATTCACCTGGGTGTCATGCTTCCATCAGAGCCGAAGCGATTAAAACCCATGTCTACTGCAGAGTAATCTGACCTGGGAGTGAATGTGGACAAAAGCCAGATGTTATTGGGGTTTTTTGACCAGTGGAAAAGGGGGTTTAGAGATGAGGAAAAGTCCAACCGGGTGAAAATGACTTTGACTCAGGTCATGTACTGGAGTGTAGTGTTAGTGATGGACAGCATATTGGTTCACAATGGGTTATGGGATGTGTAGTTCCTTTCCCACTCTTAAAATAATTATGGACACAGTCTTGTACCTTTGCCTTTTTCCAATATTTTTTTGTTTTGAAACTAATGTTTTATGGTCAGGATTCAGCTGGGAGCTGGTCGGCCTGGTTCCAGGCTTAAAACTCTTTTTATAAGGATTTTCTCAAACGTCTGAAATGGAGAAAATTAACGTGACATTTACTTACGAAACCAGAGCTGTTCTAAAAGTGGGCAGTTACTGTTACGCTCTTTTTGTGCCCTTTCAAGAAACATAAAGATATTTATCTATTCACACTTTAAGAATGACAACATTGTGTTTCACATCAGAGTGAATGAGGGACACATGTCAATAGTATATATTTTATTGCATCAAAGTAATATATAAGAGAGCCCACACATTGCCAACATGGTAAATGTTTTCAATAGATAACTGAGATCTATTGCCAGAGGTTTGTGTGAATCATCTCTTAGACCCAATCCCATTTCACCCCTTCTTCCTAAGCCTACCCCTTGTTTTCGAGGGTTATCTTGCGCCTTGAAACAAAGTTACAAGGAGAAGTGGTTGAAATCGTTTTGCCAGGGATGTAATTGTAATAACATTGTTGAGATCTTAAATAAACCAATGTTATTGCTTGCAGTTACTAAAGTGACAAACCTATAATAAACAAATAACATCGACGCTAGTGCAGGTAAATCAAATTACCAGGACACGTTTTCCTGCTTTTTTTTAGGTTGTTTTGAAAAAAAATTAAAGATATTAAACTTAGATATTACGGTTATTATCATAATATTTAAATCCTTATTAATGGAGAAAATGCTAGATTTGTGGGTCTCTCGAATCGCTTTTGCAGCTATTTTGCCAGTGATTTGCAAAGCATTCTTGGAAATCTGTATAGACCAACACTTGCCGCTACCCCTCCATCCCAACAAGGATTGGGACACCCTACCCCTACACACGAACGCTCAAAACGGAGGGGTACGAATATATTACATTTATTAATTAAATGTATCATGAAAATAATTGCAGTACCTCCTGCTCTGAAATTAACTATGTGCAACTTTCAATCAATTCCAAGTGGAAATTATGATAAAAACCCAATTGCTTCTGCTGTTTCAGTATGATCGTGTGTGATGCAGCTCATCTGTTTACAATCAAAAATGAATGTCTTTCTGATTTATTCATGTTTACATGCTGAATGCAGTCATGTTAAGGCAGAAAATACCCTGCTGTCCTACTTAAGATTGCATGTTTTTGTATTTCTGTTCCAGCACCTTGAACCATTAATTACAGAAATCGGCTTCCACCTGCCCTGGGTGTAAGGATTTGATTTCTGACAAAATGTCTGCTCAGGGATTATGTGGGATTTGATATGAGCAGAGACAAAGAAGTTCTAATGCTTCTCACAGATTTTTAGACAGTCTGTCCCATGATAAGCTACACTGTAGATGTCTACCTATTATTTGTTCTATTCATTCTCTGTTGGTGAAAACACGGCGTGCTGTCTGTGTTCTGGCTTTAATATCTGCTCTGTCTTTGTCTCTCTTTCTTTTGTTCTTCCACAGTAACTCCTGGGTTCTTCTCACTTCACAAAAATCCTCAGTCGAATCCCCAGACAACACGCGGGAGAAAAAAAAGGGAATAACATCTGTTTATCTGCATATTTCTATGTGCAAAAAACAAGGGAGAAAAGCACAGAGATCGACAGAGGACACAAAACAACTCAAAGGATGTGGAATTAGAAAGAACAAATTGCCACTGGAGAACCAAAGGGAAAGTAAACCTTTTCTCACAAATCCACCAGAGTGGAGTCACCTCACCTGTACCTTCGGATTAAAGAGCAAGGTCATGTCCCAGTTGCCATGCGCATCGCCACGCTGACCTGCCTTCCCGGCCCTTCCCCCTTCCTCTTTCTATTGGCCCAGCTGCTACTGCGGCTCCTCCTCCCTGGGCCGGAGTTGGTAGGAGCCGCTTCCTCCTGCCCCTCCCTCTGCACCTGTTCCAACCAGGCCAGCCGAGTCATCTGCACCAGGCAAAACCTGGAGGAGGTGCCCGAGAGCATATCTGTCAACACACGATACCTCAATCTGCAGGAGAACTCAATACAGGTAAATACTCGCTCGTCAGGTCAAAGCATGTCTTGTCAATGGTCTCATTCACACGTACCTTGTTTGGTTCGGACCTTTGGACGTTTCAGTTTAGTCTGAACCAAAATAACTGGTGTGAAAGTTGCCTCGGACCAGCTAACTAAAATTTGTACCAACCAAAAGAAGTGGTCTCGACCCTGATCAAACTTGATCACGGTTCGCTTTGTTTTCAATGTGAAACCTTTTTCTTGAGTAGTTAGGAGTTTTGCACCAATTGCAAGAAGTTCAGACAACATTAACTAATAGAAAAGGAAAAAAGAAGGAGAAGCGGTTCAAAGGATTTCTTGCAGTCTTTACCTCAGTAGATGATGATGAGGATGTAAATTTTTCTGATAGTAATATCATTATGATATTACTACCATTATTGGCAGCAATAATAAACACAGTGAACCAGTTCATTCATTTCCTGCATTCAAAACAGAAAGACACATTTTCTTCGATGAAAAAAAAATGTTATCGACAACACACCAACGCCAGAAGCTTGTCAGTCTACAAACCAATCTGTGTTAAGTATAAGTAGACGCAGCAAACATAGGTGATGATGACAGAAGGTGCGTATGTCATAAGAAGTCACAATGTGAAACCAAAACTAACCAGGTCAAAATGTAAACAATATGTTACGAAGACAGATTTTTAGCTGTGAAAATTCCCAATGTTGATTTGTGTTGATATACACAGCAAAAAGTTTAGAAAACAAATATGGCAGAGAGTACATAGAGAGGATAAATACATGTCTAGATGTCAGTAAAATGTCTTTTAATTTAAAATAAATTCATATTTTATTGCTCTAAGTCGCATCAAGCAAAGTAATTTAATGCTTGTCTGAAAGTATTATTGATTTCTTTTGACTGCCAGTTGTTTCTCGAATAGATGATGACCGACTGGAGGTCATGGTTCACTCTCATTTTTATTTACAACTGCATCACAGCATAAATCACATGGAGAAAACACACATTCTATCACACTCATACATGCCACTGTGTCTTTACCAGCTCACAGCCTGTCGACACATCTTAATACAGTTATTGATTTCATTTATTGTAAGTGTAGCCATTTATACAAGTTATTGATAGAAGGCAAAAATCCCTCGTGACAGACTGAGGATTTTCTACTTCAGAGTGCTCAAAGAAATCCAAATAGACCTGATTATACATATGTGTCTTTTTATACTTATATATGAATTATTTTATTTATTCATTTTCTACCCATTATCATAAGAACCTTAGACAGGAGCGGATGTTAGGATTAACTTGTTGATACAGGTTTTCTCTCAGAAACTTAAGTTCGGAGAATAGACAGAAAAGTAAGCAGCGATAATGGTAGAAAAAGTGCACTTAAGCCTCCACTGAACTGAGGGAATATTTTATGAATTGAAAGCAAGGCGTATTTCTATGACATAGTGCTGCCTTTTGTATGCATTACCAATTTATCTAGAGTCCCTAGACAGTGTTTTGTGGCTTTACAGCTGCAAGGGAAGATCATTTAACCACAGACCATCGATACAAAGCACACGAGTCTCTACATTTATAAACACAGTGGCTGGAGTTTACTCTTTGCAGCAGCATTTGAAGTAATTGGATTCCTCCTCATGTTGCTGACGGTGCTTTGTTCTTTTGTGATTTAAAAATTCATTTCCACTACATTAATGAAAAGCAACGAGTATCCTAGACATTGTTAAAATTGTCTAGCGCATCTCTAATCATGTCAGACTGCTCTGTACATTGGGCAGAGCAGTCTGATATCCTCTATTCCTCAGAGGAAACATCTTATTAAACGTTATGTGACGGTAACGGAGCATAAATGGGACATCATGCCGCATGATTGTGTGTGTGACGTTTTAAGCGGTGCAGCTCACATGGAAGAAAAGAGTAAAGAACCAATAACAACATTTGTTGCGTTTCATTTTTAGCCTACAAATTTCGATTTGGTTTGTTATATCCTGCAGGCCCATTTGAAATGATTAAAAATCTAAAAATGTTTTAACACCTGAAGGCATCCTAGATTCTCTGGCTTATTTTTTCCTACACTGAGTACCCTGAGAGGAAAGCCTTGACAGCTCCCACCTCCTCTTAACATCCCCACCCTTCTCTCTCTCTCTCTCTCTGGCCCCTCTTTGCCTAACCCCCCCTCCTCCTGCTCTACATACAGAAGAGGCGATGGCCTGACTCCAGGAGTCTCTGTGTGTCTCACAGAGGGCTTTGGCCACACATATCTCAAACCGTCACAGATTTAAGGGCCTTTTGGTCACGCTCACGTGCCGTCTGTCTTTGACTTCTCGCCCAATGGAGCTTGAGTTGGACGGACCGATGCGAGTATGTAGCGTCCAGGGCCTGCAGCTCCCATGTTTCACAAATCGTGTCCTCCTGCACAAAAACATTTATTTCAGTTGTTCATTTGTAAAATGGGTTTAAGTGAAGAGTCACACAGAATATTTTTGACTGTTTTTCGGTGTCTTAGCTTTGTCATCTGTGGTGATTTGTGCTGACACCTCTTTGAATTGTCCAACACTGATAATCAGTTTGTTATCAGGGGATTAATGTGTCAGTAAATAGGCCCCAGAGTCTCTTTGAATCAACTGTGGGAAAAGCACTTCAGTGTCTGAAATACGGTCAGGGTTAGGAATAGGACTGGGCTTACAATAGGTTTACCATAGTGCTTATTAGTGATGCAACCAAAAGTTTACCTCCTGCTTTTTTGTCACATTTCTTGAATAAGCAGTTAACTACTAAGCGTGATCCCTGTTTTTTGCCTTTTTTTAATCTCTGTCCATTACCTGATGCATATTGTTTTTCAACAACATGGCTTTGTCACTAGGAAGCATGTTTAACTGACTCGTGTCACCATCAGCAGTCAGTGTGAGTCTTTCTCGTGTCACCTTCCCCTGCAGGCGTCAACAATAGCCGCTAAGATGGAGAAATCAGCTTTTTACCATTATGAGCAGAGAAACATTTACATAGTTTATAAAAATGTGTATTGCCATATTCAGCCTTTTTCTTCTTGGCAAAGTGTTTGTTCTTGCTTTTGCAAGACTTTTATTATAATATGATAAGACAAAAAAATCAACAAAAAACTACTACGACTAGGAAAGTTGTATCACATGACAGACAAATTAATATTTTGCTTAAAGTCAGAGCCAGAGTCAAATTTGGATGCCCTGAGTATAATTTCTATAACCTTTTACAACCTTCCATCATCAAATGTATCCAAAAAACCTATTATCAAACACTTAAATATCTGTTTGTAATCTTCATTAACTATTCTACATGTTGTATAGTAACTTCATCATCATCTCTCTTTCCAGATTATCAAGTCTGACACCTTCAAGCATTTGAGGCACCTCGAGATCCTCCAACTCTCCAAGAATCAGATCCGTCAGATTGAAGTCGGAGCATTCAATGGCCTCCCCAACCTCAACACACTGGAGCTCTTCGACAACCGCCTCACACTGGTGCCATCACATGCCTTCGAGTACCTCAGCAAGCTGCGGGAGCTGTGGCTGCGCAACAATCCCATTGAGACTCTACCAGGCTATGCCTTCCACCGCGTGCCCTCGCTTCGTCGCCTGGACCTGGGTGAGCTCAAGAAGTTGGATTTCATCTCTGATGCAGCCTTCGTGGGCCTCATCAATCTACGTTACCTGAACCTGGGCATGTGTGGACTGAAGGACATTCCCAAATTGACAGCCCTTTTGCGTTTGGAGGAACTGGAGCTGTCTGGAAACCGACTGGAGATCATCCGACCAGGCTCCTTCCAGGGCTTAGAGTCTCTCCGCAAGCTCTGGCTCATGCACTCACAGGTGTCCGTCATTGAGCGTAATGCTTTCGATGACCTGAAAAACCTGGAGGAGCTTAACCTGTCCCATAACTCCCTGCACTCCTTGCCCCATGACCTCTTCACGCCCCTTCACCAGCTGGAGAGGGTACACCTTAACCACAATCCCTGGGTCTGCAACTGTGATGTGCTCTGGCTTAGTTGGTGGTTAAAAGAAACGGTGCCCAGCAACACCACCTGCTGTGCCCGCTGCCATGCGCCCCCATTCTTGAAGGGCAAGTACATTGGAGAGCTTGATCAAAGCCACTTCACCTGCTATGCGCCTGTCATTGTGGAACCACCAACAGACCTCAATGTCACAGAGGGTATGGCCGCTGAGCTGAAGTGTCGCACAAGCACCTCAACAACATCAGTCAACTGGATCACCCCTAATGGCACTCTAATGACCCACGGCTCTTACCGGGTGCGGATATCAGTCCTGCACGATGGCACGCTCAACTTTACAAATGTCACCCTCCGAGACACAGGCCAGTACACCTGCATGGTGACCAATGCTGCTGGAAACACCACAGCAACTGCTGTCCTCAATGTCACTGCTGCTGACGCCAGTGTCAACTACACCTACTTTACAACAGTCACTGTGGAAACAGTGGAGAATGCAGGAGAGGAGGATTCTGCGCTGGTTGCCACCAATGAAACCTTCATTCGTATTCACCCTGGCCCTACTCCCTCGGGTCACTTGTGGCCAGATGGTGTTTCCACCACAGCTTCTTCTCTTTCAGCTGGCTGGTCCTCCCCTTCTCCCCGCGCCACCCGACCCACGTTCACTGTGCCAATCACTGAGCCGGGCTTCTCAGGCCTAGATGATGTGATGAAGACCACCAAGATCATCATTGGCTGCTTTGTAGCCATTACCTTCATGGCAGCAGTGATGTTGGTGGTGTTCTACAAGTTGAGGAAGCAGCACCAGCTGCATAAACACCATGGCCCTGCTCGTGCCATTGAGATCATCAACGTGGAGGACGAGCTTGGGGCCGGAGCGAGTGGCAGAGGCAGCGGAATCTCAGGAGGCTCCACCGTGACGCAGAGCGGAAGCAGTGGAATTGGAGGGGGCCAGAGCCTCCGGCTGCATCACCCGGAGATGGTCAACCTGCCAAATCTGGCTCGGTCAGAGCACCTCAACCACTACTACAAAACCCATCACTTCAACAACAACATGATGGGCCTGGGCATGGGCACAATCTCTGGTGTGGGCCTCAACAACAACAACAACCCCTCACCTTGCTCTCAGAACACATCTTTATCCTGTTCCCAGGTTCCAACCTCCACATGTGGGGGAACACTCACAGGTGGCACCTTACCCTCCCCTGTACCTCTTCCCCAGCTGGGTCTCCACAGTTCTCTGAAAGGGCTCATGGGGAAAGGCCAGAATGAGCCACTGCTCTTTAAGAGTGGCTCCAAAGAAAATGTGCAAGAGACTCAAATCTGAGTAAAAGTGAGAGTGGAAGTAAGAGTTAAGGAGGAAGTGATGCTGGATAGAGACTATGACACAGAAAGTGTCTGTGAGTATATGAGACTGATGTAGCCTTCTGTCCTCATGGACAGGTTCCAGCAGAGATGAAATTTCACATAGTCACTGCTTTGTGAGAGAGAAGCGAATAGAAAGACTGAAGGAGACAGAGGACAATATCTGATCACTAGGCCCACAATAGCTTCTGCACATAGTTTTTAACTAAACAAACATTTATAAAATACACCAGACACATCAGAGTCATTCAGTTACCTGTGTAACCTGCTAAAATCTTTGCCAAAGTCCAAGATCAAGCCAACTATTTCCATATGCGTCCACAATCAGAGTGGAAAGCTATGAATGATACACATGTGCAGTGAGCCTCTAGGTTTTATACAAATTGATTCGTATATTTCCAGACATATTCAGTGTATGTATTTGAAGGGCGATGTGATAATGGCCATTGACCATGTTGTCAGATTATTGTTTGGCAGAGACACTGAATAACAAACATATGGTTTGGACGAACGGTACGGTCCCAGGTTTCCAGGAAGCAGAATTAGAGCAGTGCAGTGATCCTGTCCAGGACACACATCAGACCTGGAGTTTGCAGGGAGACAGACCAACAACAGTGGTTTCACTCTCACTTTCTCACTTTTTTCCCATTCACACGTAACTGGCTACTGTCTTGTCTGAAGTAGAAAAGAAATGAGTGGGTTTATCGTGGGAGGAGAAAAAAAAGACAATGAGTGATAAAAGAGATAAAAAAGTGACTGAAAGTAC